GGGAGGGGGCAAGTATGAGGAGAAAAAGAAGACAAGAGAAAAAGTCAAGACATAACCAAGCAGGTGTCCGTCCCCAGACACCCGCAGGTGCCCTGTGCGAGGGATGGGCTCCATGTCGCGTACTCACATCGCGGAAGATGCGCAGCCCCGCTCCCCGCTCCGCCGCCATCCGCCCGCCCCAGCCGCCGCCGCTCCGCAGCGCCTGCCCGGGTTCTCGCGGTCTGTTTGCGCCGCCGGTTGGGCTGCCTGCCCCTTCGGCACAGTCACTTTGGGAGGTGTTCCTCAGGAAAGCCGCAGGAGCCCATTCCGAAGGTGAAGTCCGGCAGCGCAGGGGGCTGATGGAGCGGCTCTGCGCTTCCACGCTGCGGTGCGGGGACCGCCAACAGCTGCGCTCTGCAGAAGCGCTCGGGCTTGTTAACAAGATGATGCTTGAATATAATATATACCTCAAAGTGGCCTGGCCAAAAATCAGGGGCTGCAGGGGCGCGGAGCGCTGGTGGTCCTGCAAAGAAGCAAGCGGGGAGCTGTGGGATGGGGCAGGAGGGGCGCGGCGGGGTGAGGGCAGCAGAGAAGAGGGTCCCGGGGAGGGAGAAGGAAAGCAGCTCTGACGGGAGCTCCCTCCCGGCTATTTCAGACCCGTGCCAAGAAGTTACAGCATGGACCTGTGTAACGGGCTGTGACTCTGTGTTCCCATCACAAACCACGAGCAGATGGCATTGCAATTATACATCATATGTCACAACAGTGTTATAGATTATATACTACAGTTAGTGGTTACTATCTATGATACTATGCTTCTTAACAAATATTAAAGGGAAGGGTTTTTTTTTAAAACACCTTCATGGATTAAAAGCCTCAGTCATGGTGTGACTTGAAAGTTTCTGCTTCTCTCACCTCCCTTTCCACATTTCAGAGGAAAACCTGAGAGATGGGAGAGAGAACTGTCCAATTGGAAAGACAAGGCATTTCACAGGGTGAGCCATTTTTATCTCAATTCATCAAGATGGCTTGAAAAAGAGATGGAAAGATCATCTCAGGCTATTTTTGCTTTTTAATAATACTGAAAGGCTGTTATTTAATTTGATTTTTATGATGGAAGTATGGGAATATATTTTTTTACAGAGAGGAAAGAAGAATAAATTCCAAAGGTTGTCTCAAGAGCAAGAATGGTGAGTGGAAAAAAGAACAAGTTTCTTTAAATTATAGAGGGGCTTGGTTTTGTTAACTTTTATAGCAACAGCATTAATAATTTACATATTGAACTTTTTTGACTAATTTATACCCTGGTATAAAAAGATCTTTGATGAAGACCCAGTATCTTTCCTTTTTGATTAGCCTTAATATTCACCAAGAATATTTTGTTTGTCTAGAGAAATCTTCCTTCAAAATCATAAGAAAAGATATTGTGCCATCTTGATATTTTTAGGGTAAAAATTAAAACATAAGAATAAAAAATGTCACATAGAACTTTTATTATATGAGAAACTTGTGAGTAGGGTGTATGTGAAACTCACTGATGATAGTTTTTGTATCACTTTAAAGTTACTTGAAGCAATATCTCAATTTTAATGCCACAAGGAGTACCAGAGCTCTGAATTTTAGTCAGTTCCATATTCATTCAATGTCTCCCTCTGTCTCTGAGCAAGAAGACACAGGGAGAGAATGCAGCCGTGTGGTGCCCTGTGATGTGGGAGTACAGGTACTGCCTTACTGGGAGGATGATGTCTTTGTGACCTGCCCAGGTGAGGTTAGCAAAGGTCAGCACTCAGTGACTTGCTTCCCTCTGCAGCCACAGACCTGTGCTGCTCACCATCTATTACAAGAAATAAAAGTTGTTTCATGCATGTCCATGGATAAAACTTAAAAGAGACTGTTTTTTTCTTGCTGTGTGTCAAATCATTAAACCTTTATTTAGAAACCAGCTACTTTACCAACATCTTCGCTCATGTGAAAAGAAGTGGTCAGGCAGTGTGTAATGATTTTGACCTTTAATTTGGGAAAAACAAAAAAATTAAAGCTGGCAGCACCTTCCACTTACTGTGCAGTGGACTATGATGTGCAACAGCCATTGATGCTGAGATAGAAAAACAGCAAAACTTTCTTTTTACAGAGGAAATGCAAGCTGTCCAAGTGTCTAATCAAGTTACTAAACCACTCCATGATTCCACACTCTGTGTGTGTGACTTCTAACTGACAGGAAAAACACTATGTAATACTTATGTCAAAATGTAACCTTTCCAGAATTACAGTACTATTTGCACTTGGCTAAGGGATTGGATCTGCTTTATAGTCTTTTTTCTTCGTTGCAGGAGCTGACTGGTATGTGTCCAAAGGCTGAGTCAGTATTCTACAGGGTCCCCCTTAAGCTTTCAAAACCTGTTGTTTTGTCATGGTTTGACCATCTGGTCTGGTGCTCTGTAGGCCAACACCAAACCAGCCTCTGGTTTGGGTACTCAAATGCCGCCCCTGTAGTTGCTCCCTCATAACTTTTCTTGGTCATAAAGTAAAAACAGAGAAAATTCAGATTTAGTATGTTTTTTTGCCACAGCTTGCAATATGAACAGAAACAGAGGAAGCAAGAGGCCACCCTTCTTCTTTTCCTTCACTTTGTGTCTCACACATGGACTAATCTGACCCAGTATACTTACAGCTTGGTGTTCCTAGGAATTGCGCTCTGATGATGAAAAATAAGTCCTCCTCTATAACGTGATAACTGTGCCAGTGACAGCAAGGGTAGATGCACAAAATCCCAGAAGGAGTGTTGGTGTGCCTGGAAAACCATTGGGTCAGCTGCCTATACAGGAGTGTGTGGCTAGGTATAGTTCATCAGATTAAAATCACCTCAAGGTTCCCAGCTCTGGGAGTTCACTTTACCTCATTGGGATCCCTCCCGGGATAAGGCCTGGGTGTGGTCCCATGACTTTCCTGCCCTCCTCCTTTCCCTCTGGTCCCATGTCCACTTGGGGGTGGAAAGGAAAACCAGACAAAGGCTGTACTGAAGCCACAGGGCAGTTCAATGGCAAGCCAGTGCACACAGCTGAGATGAACACCAGTAGGTGAGCCTGAATGGAGTCTGCATGGATTGGAGCTCTTTCCTAAACCACCAGGAGAATAAATATAATGTAAAGGGTTGTGAGAAACTGCTATGTTAGAGGTTAATGACTCAAAACAATGGGCAATTTGTGGAGGCAGCAGGGTGCTTTACTGAGGCCAGGTTTGCACCCCTGGCTGAGGGGAGGAGGCACCCAGCAGTAGCTGTGGCTCATGTTGAGAAAAAGCCTGCTGTGAGACTGGATGGATAAGGCAGATATTTACTTATAAGATCTAAGAAAAAGAACTAAGGAGAAGATCAAAGCATAAAGGTCAGAAGCAAAACAATGTGAAAGCACAGTGAAAAATTTGTACTTTTATTCTTTGTATTTGCAACATTCCCACAAAAAAAAAAAAAGGTAGATGAAAACTTCTACTGTTAGTCTGCAGCTGAAATGATTTCATAATGTCCTTGTTCTGGCCAGGACAGGGTTAATTTTTTGCAGTAGCTGGGAGGGGGCATGGCTAGGGTACTGTGGTTATTCTGAACTACCTCATGTCCTTGCTGGGGGCAGAGGAAAGGGACGCTTATTCAGGGAGATGGGATTCCTTCCAATGGAGAAAACATAGTGCTTTTTGTTATTGGCTTTTTTTTTCCCCCCATGTGAGTAATTTCTTTTCTTATAACCTCTGTCATTAGTATTGTTGCTGTTACTGCTCATTTTTTATCTTATTTCTTTTTTCCAGTAAATTGTTCTTACCTTAGCCCATGATCTTTGCCTTTTCTGCCTCCAACTCTCAGTGCCATTCCAGTGAATCAGGAAGGGGGAGTAAGGGCAAAGGGGAGCAGGTGGCTTTGGAGAGTTTCAGAGGGGACAGTGAATTGGAAGTACTGTGTATTGTTTCTATACCATGACATATATTTAATCTAAACCCAAAGAAGTTAAGTTCACAGTACCTGTCAGGCTCAGGTATAAGCAACTGTCCTGAACAGTCCATACACTCCTGCTCAATTTCCCCTAAGAGGGGGTTATAAGGTTATTTGTACTGCAAAGCTTTAGTTACTAATTGTTTATCAAGCCTGAAGAAGTTTCCCACACAGCTGAAGATGGGAATGAGGTTTTCCCAAAGAGTTAATTTATGCCTTACAAATATTACCCCAGGCATAGCAAGAACAGTCATAGGCATTTCCCAGTTACTTACAGAAGGAAGACTGTCAACCAAATAAAAAAGTTTCAAATCTCATTTAAAAAACACAGGCTTCTGTGAGTCTGCTCACTGTCCAAGTCAGAAAACAGTTTAATGTAGCAAATTTGGAAGGGCCAGTTTTTCATTTGAATGCTAATCAGGAATTCTGATTTACTAAAGAACTGAATAAATAATACAGTTATTACTTTCCTTCTTTGGATATAGATTACATGACAAGATCTAGATATTTCTGGAGCATATCTAGCTAGCTAGCTAGCTAGCTAGCTAGTTACATATCTATATCTATAGCTATCTATAGCTATAGCTATAGCTATAGCTATAGCTATAGATATCTATATATCAGGATTTAGATGACTTTATGTTTATATTTTGATTATTCTGCCATAAGGGACCTCCCAAAATTCCTGACATTTGTAAAAAATATTGACAAACATAGTAGCACATAGATAGAAAGTAAATATTTTTATTGCAGACATTCTAGAAATTTAACCATGGAATATTTGTCTGTTATGCTTGATGCTTAACAGCTGCAAGACTAATGGAAAAACTCACTGATGAATAATATAAATCACATAATTTTTGTTTAAATGTCCATAACAGAGATGTTATTACATTCCTCCTCCCTGCGTAGTTTTTGATACATGTCTGCTTCTCTTTACCTCAAAAAATGTCCTCAGTAGTTAAGGGATAATAAAAGTAAATATCCTGGAGACAGTATACCTATAATGTCCAGTCCCTTGTGACATGCTTTCAGAGCAGTGAATCTGAAACCTATAAATCCATATCACTAACTTTGTGGTATCAACGAGTGCATTCATTGCCTTATGGTTGTGTCATAAAAAGGTTATTTTCAAAAGGTCATCAGTATGTGACATCTGATTAGGGATTGTTCTCAAACTCTTTTGCTATTCAAAAATTGAAAATGGTTGC